CACACACACACAGTGGGAACCGACCATATACGTTCCAGCGCACGACATGCCCAGCCCACCCAGTTTTGATGATCATGTCATCCCTAAAAGTGCTGGTAACAATGCTCGAGGGTTACCTAGGAGACAACCAACACATTCCTGGCTGTCCTCTCATAGTTCCACTTGAGAAGGCCCTATCCAAACTGCCCAACCGGACATCAAACGCAAGAACCCAGATCGAGTTTGACTGGCTGTCACTGCTGAACACTCGTACCCTTTTCCCCCGGATGGCCATCAGAAATCCCAACAACTTGTCAACAAACATCTGACCTAAACAGGGTACAAAGTATATACCATGGTTACCCTGGACCCACCTCCGACATCATCTGGACCAGACCAGCACAACGATAGTGAGGCCATGACTATGTCCCAAGTTCCCAACCCGAATTCGACAAGTCTTTCCTTCCTCACTTTTGCCCTCTGATTTGGCAATGAATTGAGAAATGACCCTCAGCAAACAATTATTTTCCCAAAATTTTCCGACTTCTCTTAACAACCAAGATTTGGGAGGAAGACAGGGCATCCAGGGAGTGCTATCCAGATGCCTGTCTACGGTTTGATCATAACATGCTAAAACGATTTCAGGACATGGAGAGTAACATTCCCATGAAATGGCAACAGATGGCCACAGAAAGAACAAACAGAGCGAAGGATAGGAAATGGATCAGAGACCCAGGAGCGACGGCACTGTTCTTGTCTGTACCTTCGAACAGATGTGTTTACTAGGCACCCATCGAAATCAAAACTTGCAATTTTATGTGACGGTTTGACGTCATTGCCCTGCACAATTCATGACCCACAAAAGATTTCGCAGCAACATAAGGGGACAACATCTGAATTGAAGAACCTCCAGGTGCACAAGAAAAGTTGCATGAAACGAAAAAGAGAAAGACAGTATATGGTCACTAGATGAGCTTTTTTCTTTTTCTTTTTTTTAAAAAAAAAACAGGACCTCTTGGTTCCGTCTCCCACCATTCTGGGGAGCGAAAGTCCGTTTCCTATTCCCCCGGGAAGTCAATTTGGAATACATGGGAGACTCACACACGCTCCTCCCCATTATGGCTGGAAGGCCCGAGTGGACGGCATTGATTACTTCCCTGTGGAAGGATGTACCCCCTCTCACCCCTGCTTAAGTTAGCCTGCGATACTTAATCCAGTTGGCCCTTGCTAATCTGACTGGCCGCAGTCCTGCTCCTCTTAGCTGTAATGCTGTCGGGTCGGTGTGTTATGCTAGAGCTGTCAGGGACACCTGTGGACTTCTTCAAATCTTGAAACCTTAAGCCATACTTGTCTTGAATCTGTCTGCACCCTAGACCCTTGTCTATCTAGCCTCGGTTTGTCTTAACCCCACTTGTCTCGACTCTGTCTAGACTCTGTCTAAACCCTAAGCCCTTGTCCTTTTTAACCTTGCTCTGATTGTGTCATCTAGGAATCATCTTTATCTTCTATCGTGCTTTCCCTTAACTAGAGTCTACTGCCACACTTGGGGTATATGCTATACTTCTTGGTATCTCCGAGATCCGTGGTTGTTCTACATTACGGTGTCTCCATTGCCCAAATAGTATTCTGTTGTTGACGATTGTTGCTATTTTCCCATCACCCAGTCTCTGTTTTGTGAATTGCTCTATTATTTTATCTTTGTTTTCTGCGCTTTTTTCAATGATCTTGACTGTTCTCTGTCATCGTCCTCTGTATTCCACTTCCACTGTTGCAACACTCCCTCCCACGCTTCTTGGGAAGCCATTGTTGTGTGGCCGATTGTTTCTTGGCATCTACTTTTCCATATCATCCTGTTACATGCTGAGCCTGCACACGGGCCCCATTTCAGGCGCCCAACGGTTGCTCAGGGGCCCCCAGGCTGCGTGCCCACCAGACATGCTCCCTGAAGGCCCACGGCGGCGGTAGCTCCTGGAACGTGTACGGCCTCTCCCTAGGCTGTGACCGTGTCACACGGTCACTCATAACCTCAGGAGCCTCTCTCCAATTTTATTTTCACTCCAATGCCAACCTTCCTCCCACCTCGTCACGCATAGTATAACTCCTTTGAAAAACCTGCGCAAAATGAGGTATAACACTAAGCAGCTACTCAACAGGTAGTGAGATACTGTGTTGATGTCCCACTTGATGATGCGGCGATCTTCCTGGTGTGGCGGCTATCCAAGTCCAACACGTGTCCAAAGTCAAGATCATTACCAGCTCTGATACCACTTAGAATTTCCAAAATCTCAAGCACTTCCGCTTACCATTTCACATACACACTTGATTGAGATAAGATCACACTGGACTGCAAATCCACAGAAATTGGAACTGAATAGTCACATACAAAATAGTTGATAAAACCAGAAAAAGGTGATCAAGGCCTGGCCTCCCTCAGCAATATGCAACAATTGGCCCGAGAAACCGTTCAGTGAACAACAAGTTCTCACTGGCTGTGGCTGCACTCTCGCTCTCTCTCCTTGAACAGTGCTGGAAGTAGCGCCTCTCTAGTCTCACCGAGCAGCAAAAATATGCCGAATGAATATTGAAGGAAGGTTTTGCCCCGACTCGTCAATTTTGACGAGCAGCTACTTGCCTACGCCTGCAGTTTCCGCCTACCAAAAGAAAAGCCTAAAACTACCGGCCAAAAAGATCCTGCCACTATGCTAGGCAATTAGGGACAGTACACAAGTCCTGGGCTCAAAACTCTTTTTTCTTTTTCCGTAAGAATGTATAGGACGAAATGGACATGAAATAGGCTGAGAAGCCACCAATGCTTCATGTGCTTCATAACAACATGAACGGAAAACAAAACAACACTTCAGACTTTGTTTGGACCCCGGTTCAAAACCAAGCAAGAACAAAAATAATAGAAACTTGAAATACACAAGATAATTGGGCAGGTTGCGAATTCAAATCCCACAACCCCCAACACAGGTACCACTGTAGGTTAGAACGAAGGACACCGGAGTTATTGTGGCTTCCACAAAGGCTGCACAGCGGCATGGATGACAGAGCTGTAGCAACAAACGGCTTTGGGAGAGGTTTCAAGGCTTGGGCAAGGACCAAGACCTTGACGGAGAGCTGAACAAAAAGCAACAGACAAGCTGCACATGCCAGAGACTCTCGAGTAAGGCAGTGACTGATACCATAGAGCGCCTTATCGAGGTCCCAGGGGTTAGGTACGAGTTAAAAGATTCTCCTGACTTGCGTGGATTCCTAGTGTTAGGAAGCTTGCGGCATTCTGAGCCACACGGGCCCCAGTTAGGGCCCAGTTCGAGATAGGCAGGGTAGGCCTAAGGGGACGACGGTTCAGATGAGGCCCAGATAGGCTAGGACCACGGCGGTTCAGGCAGGCCAGGGGTAGAGGCCCAGGCCAACGGCCACAAGGCCAGTACCGGTCCAGCATATGACCTACCGGCGGCGCTGCAGAGGCTGCCGCGTTTAGGCACCAAGTCCAGTTTTAAAACTGGACCGTTGATCACATCAATGGTCCAGGCCGGTAGGTATCAGCAGGTAGGGGGCCGGCCCAGCACTACAAAAGGCTGGGTACCAGCCTCAGTAGGGAGGTTGGTAGACAGGAGTTAAGTCTTCAGGATTAGCGCAGCATTGCAGCGTTAGTAAGATTAGCGCAGCGCAGCAGCGTTAGTGGGAGCAGCGAGGTGAGATCAAGACAGCGGTGAGGAGGAACCAGCGCAGCAGGGACAGTGCCAGCCACCGGCCCAGCCCGCGGCCCAGCGCCAGCCTCCTGCAGCGCCATAGCTACCGGGACAGGTACCAGGGAGGAAGGCCTCGCCTTCTCTCCCTCTTCCTCCACCGCCACTGTCTCTCTCTCTCTCTCTCTCTCTCTCTCTCTCCCCTCCTACCTTCTCTGTCTAAGTCTACTTCTGGGTTCTCCGACGGGACTACTATGAGTATGAAAGATGGTTACCAATTCTCATGACATTGGAGACAGCGACATTGGGACTGTAGGTTGAGCACTACTTGTGGGATCTGATTTCATCTTCCTCCGGAGATGTACTTGACATTGTGAGATCGATATCTGAGACATTGTGGGACACTGTATTAGCGACATTTCAGATTTTCGCCATCTCTGACATTTCAAGATAGTATCTTTGGAAACATTGAGTTGACGTCATCTTCCCTCTCCTCCTCCCTTCGTCTGCCTCCTCCCTCCGTTCGTCCGTGGATGATCTCCAACCCTGGCCTTTCGTCTATGTCCAAGGCCAGGGCTTTCACACCCCTGATGAATGATTGAGGGTGTTCGATTGCAGTCCGAGTCAGGTCAGAGTCAGTCCATGTATCTCAGCTCTTCCGCTGCATTTGTATTTACTCTGTATTATCTGGTCGGTTCTGGGAATCTGCACCATACTTATGACTGTGTTTCACAAGTATGCAACAAAGCTGCTGGCTTGTGCAGCCAGGACAGCCTTTAATGCCTTCCCATCCCTTAGCAGCAAGGGCCAATGCCAGCTTGTTGGAAGGGAGTACGAGTAGTGGGAGAAATAAGAAACTGCTCCAGGATTGGAAGCAGGAGGCTCAACTCGTATACATAAATCATGGTGGTAATCAGGAGGAGATTAAGTTTCTTCTAGACCTGGATGGGTCAGACCATGGGAAGTTCTGCAGTAAACAATGTCAAGAGGGATGGGTTCCTGCTGTTTGGAAGCTAAGGAAGCTGGTGCCAAGGAGCCACCAACGAGTCAGAAAAGAAGTCCAAACAGATCCCAGGATGGGTCAAGGACGGACTGCCTAAAAATGTCTTGTTTGATAGATATCATGGGGTAAACTGCATGGAGTGTGGTGAGACCGGTCACATCAAGGACCCATGCCCCAACAACGCACAGGGAAACCAGATAGGCAAGTAGAGATGTCCGCCGCCTCTGTGGAGTTTAAATACTTTGGAATGGTAGTCCTATTGGACTCCCTCCACCTCTACACATTAATGGCTTTGTCTACTGACTCTATACCTATCCCTCGGTCACAGTCTGACCACAAGATGCTCTGCTCTAGAGACATGACTAAATCCTTAGAGGAGGTAGGAATAGAAGCTTCGCAAAAGAATCTGTTAGCTATCCTATGGAGCTGAAAGGAAGGGTCCACAGGTAGACGTCGGTGTAGATGAGCATAAGGCCAGTGCACTAGCTGATCCAAGATCAAGGGGCAGTTACATTAGGTCTTCTGTGGAAAAACACTTCACCAATAGGACAGGGTACAAGGCTAAGTAAATACGCAATATCTACCTTAGTTGATAGCAAGACAATCATTGGAGTTGAAGACTGCATTAAGAAGTTATTTGTACCTTCTCCTGTGGAGGAGAGATTAGACACAAATTGTTTTGTTTGGTTAGGGATGATCTGCCTTCCAATATGATTCTGGGTATGTGGCAAAACCACAGTTCCAGTGCGATTTGAAGACCTTGCTGTACAGCATTGCGGGATGTACGACTGTACATGTGCAGAAATGCATAGCAAAAGGTAGAGAGGAGTGCTACGGATGTCTGCGTGCTGCTAACTTTATGAGCTACTGCAGACAAAATCCGAAGGAAGGTTTGTAGTATGTACCTTGTGTCTCCACTGAGTCATGACGTTCCAACCCCTAAGGAGAAGGAGATATACAAGATCATCAATGAATATGCAAACTTGTTTGAAGAACCGAATGGGGTGGTAGGCAGAGAGAGAGTACATGCCATAGAAATTCCGGCTAGTAAAATCCCAAGCGGCAGGATCTATAAGATGTCCCTTGCAGAACTAGATGCTCAGGAAGGAGCTCCAGTAATTAACGGACAAGGGCTGGATTAGGCC